CCGGTCACGTGTGCATGCTTTCCCAAGATCCCTAGAGAAGAATGGAGGAGAAAGGATTGTGGTGTGGCCATGTTCCCTGTGGGGTGATTTCTTGCTTTCTGTCTCTCTGTCTCTGTCTTTCTGGTGAGTGCACATTCCCTATAGCAAAATCTTCTCCAAAAAAAAAGAAAAAAAAAAAGATGACAGCTGAAAGTAGCATTGTCCATATCATTGATACATTCCAAATGAAAAGTGTAGTCTCTCTTGGTCTGGAGAGCAGCAGAGGGAAGGATCTTGAACAATAAACTCTTTCATATTTCAAAAAATTTATGAGCACTTATTGATGGGCTAGAAATAGACAGACTGACTATAGTCCTGAGCACAGTGTTCAACTCAAGAACAATGATTAGTTTAAGACGTCTGGTGGCACAAAACTCTTGTGCTGGCTTTGCTTTCTTTTTCTTTCTTTCTTTTTTCTTTCTTTTTTTTGAAGAGGATTTTTTGGCTATAGGGAACGTGAGCTCACTAGAGAGACAGAGAGAGAGAGACAGAGACAGAAAGCAAGAAATCACAGAAAGCGAAGGGGTGATGGCCACGCCACAATCCCTTCACCTCCGTTTTCCTCTCGGGATCTTGGGTACACATGCACACACACCCCGCGTGAGTTTTAAGCCACCGGGTCTGGGACACAAACTGGGGTCGACTACATGGGAGTCCAGCGACATAGCCATTATGCTAACTGCTGGTCCCATGCTAGCTTCGCTTTTTAAAGTGTTTTTTTCTCCGTCCCCTTAGACAAAATTAATTTTCAGATTTTTTAAAAATTTTTCTTGTCAGGGTCCATTCTGACTCTCTGGGTATACCTATTTGCTTAGCTGGGAGCTTTGACTCTTTTCTAATAAACTTTGCTTACTATACTCTCCTTTTGTCCCCATTTCTAATTCTTTGTGACCATCAGAGAAGCACCTGCCCAGGTGTTGTATTTGAACACCTAGCACTTCATATCATGGCTGCTACTCTGTATCTCATTAAGTTTACCCATTTGTAATATGAGCCTATTTCCAGTATTAGTGAAATGCCCCAGTTTCCCAGTGAAGTAACTTGGAGTCTTTGCAGACAGAGTGTTCCTATGGCAGCTGTGGGGTGTCTTGGTCTCTTAAACTGAATGAAGGCTCTGGTCCCTTTCTGCATTTCTTTGGCTTGCCTAGCACTCCTGGGGAAGTTACTTTATTTCTTTTCAGATTTTTGCCATGAGACACAAGTTCTTGCTTGAGAGTTACAGAGATGGACAGGATAGGTGAGAAGGAAGGAGAAATCATCCCTCAAGGGGGTGGGCATGCCAAAATCCTTTCTCCATTTTCCTCTTAGGATTTTGGGCATATGTGAATATACTCTGGATGTAATTTTTAAGCCACTGGATCTGGGAGTCAAACTACAAAGTTGCATGTGGATCTCGCAGCCTTTCCTTAATGCCTCTGGCTGGCCCACTCCTGGGTAAATTTAAAAACTTTTACGGGCCATCTGGTGGTGTAGTGGTTAAGGTTTTGAACTCCCACTTGACTGAAGGAAGCAGCAGCCTTTCCAAGACCTGGCAGTTTGAAGATCACACTAGGTGCATGTGCCTTTGTGTCCAAAATTCCAGGAGGAGAATGGACGAGAAGGGATTGTGGTGTGGCCATCATCCTTGCTGGGTGATTTCTCATCCCCCTCCCTCTTTCTGTCACTCTCCAGCAAGCGCATTCACCCTATGGCAAAAACCTAAATGGGAAAAAAGAATCTTATACAAGTTCAAATTCAGAATCCAGTGATAATGGTTTCTGTTAGGCAGTTTGGAGCACTGATGAAGGGTAGCATTTTATTTGAAATAAAGTAAATATTGTAAAGTTAGAAAATTTCACAGGTAGGAATCTCACCTGAAAGAACACCCCTATGGCCTGAATACTGTGTTAGTACTTTAGAGCAGTGGCAGAAAAGCCTGGGAAAGGAAAAAAAAATCAGTTTACCTAAAGTAATTATTGATCTTTCTTTCTAGAGTGGACAAAATTTGGATAATCTTACCTTCTCCTGAAGCACTGGATGCTGCTCAGAGATTTGGACCAACTTTTAGAAGGGATAGAGAGTTTGACTGAGACAGGTAGGCAAAGCCCTAATGATGTTACTTATTGGAGAAAGCTTAGAGTGTGGCCTGGCATGAAGTTAAACCTGTCATCCTGAGACTGTCTGTCTACAGACTCCATTTTTTCAATCTGTTGTCATTGTTTCCTGTGTCTGAGCTCATTTAAACCTGATCTGTAACCAAATTTCACAAGTAGAGAAAAGTGGATGCACCCTCTATATTGATAGGTTTTCCTAGTAGTTCAGGAAGAGTTTGCCAAAGTATTTCTGCCTTATAAGAAAAATGGTAATAAATTAGATTTGAGATGTGTCTTTCCCAGAGTGTGGTTATTGTAGATAGTAGACATTCTGATGTTTGGCTAGTATTATCTGTTTGTTTTTTTTTTTTT